CCGCAGAATGTTACTTAGTAGACAGCAGCATACGAAAAGGTTCAGCCAGGGCATAGCAGCCCTTTGGGGTCCTACAAGAGTGCACATGAATACACCAGAGTGCCTGCTGTTTCCCATGTTGTAACCTGACTTAGCAGAAGGCATAAAATTCCACATTTTCCAAAGAATTAAAACTAAATACACAACCAAGGTCACGAGACTCAGGACCTAGAGTTTCCTCCTTCTGTTCTTCAGATGGCATTTATGATGTTGGTTCTTGATAAGGCCTAGGTAAAATATTGAGGCCTAGATGGAACGTTAAGGCCTCAGTAAAATGTTAAAGCCCAGGTAACTGTTACTTGGCTACCCTGCCATTATATGGAAAGTTTTTTATATGTCTTTTCTGTTACTAGGAAACTTTCTAATGCCAAGATTGATTACATATTTTGTTATGTTTTGTGCCCTTGGAAACCAATCACGATAAAAGTCAATAGGACTGTTTTGTATAGTTACCCACAATAAGTTTGGACCCAAACCAACCACGCAACAGTCCTTCTGTATCTGTGTTTAAGCTTTCGTGATATAAGCTGCCCCTGGAATAGACTCTAACATAAGAGAGACACCTGCACCAATATAAGAAACCATTTGAAATAAGACTTCTGTTTTGAGTAGTGGTCCAGAAAAGTTTAAGCTCCCATGACCAAGGGGAAAATCTCATTTTTAAGAACAGGCAGGTGTACTTATCTGGGTCTGTTTGATCTGTGGAAAGGGGATCCAAGCCTTACAACTCTCTGAAGCTAATGTGAATTTTAGAAAAAGCAATTAATAGGTATCTGTAAGACAGCAGGAGTAGACTCATACCTTTGAGACTCAGTAAAATATTATATATGTTTGGGTTAAGAGGCATGGAACATTTAGTCCAGAGGGCTAGACATACAAATTGAACAGAGATGGTTTTAGAGTGATGAGAAGCATCTTTAAGTCTATATTCAGAAGACAACCAAAGAAAACATAAAACTTCGAGCCTGTGACTGAACTGTAAGCAGCCAGTATTCCATCAGTTTATCAGCGCCATTGATTGATGACAAAATAACAATAGCATGGGGGGAGAACTATGAAACACCCATTCATATTTTATATACATTACAGCATTTTTAATATCTTTATAACTTGTATTTATATATTTTAAAACAGTCTTTTAGGCCCTCCAATCTTTATAAAACATATTGAACCTTTGAACATTTTTAGAAGCTTTTATATCCTTAGATTTATATAACATATATAAAGTTATATATAATATTGTATCAGATATCTATACATATATCATATGCATAAAATTATAAATAATATATTATTTTAAATTTTGTGATTTTTATTTAATTATTTATCATGAGTCATGGGTGGTAACATGAAACCTGTAAACAAAGCAAACCTGTTTGTCCTTCTTTTTTTTTTTGGTTTTTCGAGACAGGGTTTCTCTGTATAGCCCTGGCTGTCCTAGAACTCACTCTGTAGACCAGGCTGGCCTCCAACTCAGAAATCTGCCTGCCTCTGCCTCCCAAGTGCTGGGATTAAAGGCATGTGCCACCACTGCCCGGCCTGTTTGTCCTTCT